CCTCCTTACACGACACGGGCCTTTTGTACCCCAACTATTACGGGCATCGGTCGTCACCTCCCATGGACCGGCGCGAGGAGTCTCCTGCAGGGCCTCCGCCTCCTCACCCGCATCCTCTCCTGCACCCGGCGCTGCTGGCGGCAACCTCACCAGACTCCTTCTCCCGCTTCCTCCACGGAGGCGACCACGACCGGGCATCAGACTGTTCGCCCGCCGACACACACTATGATGGAGTCCAGCCTACTATATCCTTTTATGCAGCTGAACGTAAATATCCAGTGATTGTGTTTTTCTCTATTTTATCCATTTTTTATCGGTGTTTGCTTCGCAATTCAGTGGCTTGCATTTTATTTTTTCAGTCTCCACATCTCATTATCACCATCACTGCTTCTCTCATCATCAAGTGTAGTGTTAGGTCCTAGCATGTCTTAGGCCCACATCCTGTTCCAGTTGTGTTCCTCACTCCCTTTTCACTGCCACCTTTGTGTGACTTCTCATTCCATTCTTCTCCACTTCGCCAAAATTATGTTATTCCAACCCTCGAGTGTACATTCCCTGTCACGCAAATCTGTGTTGACATACATCTCCATTATACTAACACTAGTGCCATGTCACGCATGTCGACACTAACACACCAGCGCAAAGTTGTTGCTCTTGTCAAGCTCCCACTTAGGTTTGTGTCATCTTTCCTCCCCCGTGAACAGAAGGTCTCTCTGTCCAAGTCCGGTTTCAGTCATATTTCGCTAAGTCCAGTCATACAGTGCTTCCCTACCTCGAATGCCATATTCCAGTGATAATACAAAAATAAGTGAAGTAGACCGAAAAAGAGAGAGAGAAATCAAAACAAACAGACTCTCGTGTCCATATGACACACACGTGCAGAATATGTTTATCTGTGTTTCGCCTCCCCTCTCTCTCTCCCCTTCTCCCCTCGCCCCCTTTCCCCTCGCTCCCGCCTGCTCTCCCTGCCACCCACACTTCCCTCCCTCAAACGCGGCCGAGGGGAGGGGAGGGGGAGGGGACAATCGATATTAAGGCAAAAGTAACTCGTTGGAATATACACAATAGCCATGTGCGATGACGGGTGTTTTAGCCTTTTTGTAACTTCGCATTTTCTAGCGTCCTTGCTTTTCGGAAGAGTTTGTTGAAGTTGTTGTCACTTTACCCATTTGAATTGGTTGACACCTTTATTAAGCTCATCTCAGGTGTCACGCCCCGTCACACTGGATTACACACGCCGTATCACGCTTGTCACGTTAAATTAGGCGCAACTGTGTTACACACCTTTGCCAGTGCTCAAGTGGTTCACACTCTATATCACATCCGTCACACTTACGGAATCACATGCTGTAACGCCACGTGGCCTCGTGGGTTAAGGAAAAAGCAGGTCGCACTATGTCATATCAACTAAGTAGGCACGTCACTCGTCTATTTCGTCTTAGGGTGTCATTTAAAAAAAAAATAGTAAAGTGTACCTTCAGATTAACGTTACGTATAACTTTTATAAAATGGACTTGTCACTTGTAAGCTTTCTCATACAGAGGACAGTTAGAGACAAGGGCACTGTCACCCTTATTTTCCTCTTCTTCCCTCTCACCCTCTCTTCCTCTTCGTCTCCACCAGTCCTCTGCTCAATGCCCATACCCCGGACGCTATCAGTACACCATCTGTGTTAACCCTTCAGGAAGTGGGTACCCGCATTCTCTTTGTTCCTGTCACCTCCGTCTCCCTCCTTCCTTCACTTCTCTCTCACTTATTTTTCTTTTCCATTTGGTCGTCAATTTGTGTTGCACACACACGCATATAATTCCTTATGATTTCTGTATGTGATCTGATTTATTTCTTCATTCGTTTGATTACATTTAGTGTGTATCTATCTTAGCACGTCGTAATTATAACATCTATCGTGTATTTTGCTTATATACTTTGCCAAGTCAGGTTAGGTGAAAAAATATGATCTTGTAGCGTGACCAATATAACCGGCCCTCACTCTTGCTAAAAAGACGTAAATATTTCCAGTTTCCCCTCACGATTGTAATGGTCGAAGTCACGTGTTAAATTTTATGTCACGAAAGCTAAGAGCCAGTCCTCCCTCCCTTCCCTCTCCCTCTCCCTCCCCCGCCCCCGACCAGCTTAGGTTGCAAGTTGTCATGCCATATCTCGAGCCATCGCCCTGTGTCAGTTATGGGAATCTAATGTTTCTTTCCTACTCCGCCTCTCCCCTCCCTGTCTTTCTCTCGTGATTTTTTTTCACTCTCACTGTCTCTTTCTCTCCCTCTTCTCTATTTTTTTTTCTCTCTCTGTCGCTCAACATCCTCCTGTCGCTTTCCCTTTCCTCTCCTTTCTTTACCTATCTTTTCTATTTCTATCTTTTCTATATAAAAATATCCTATCACTAACACTCCCAACTCTCCTTAGGCTGAATCCATCTCTATATCTATCCATCTTTCTATGTCCCTTTCTCTAACATTCTATCTATCTATATCTCTCTTTTTCTACTTCTCTTTCTATCTCAGAATCTTTCAAACCTATCTAACTCTTGTCTCGGTGATGGTAATATTCCACTGTAATTGTGTGTGCCCTTTCTATCTCTTCAGATAGAATACAAAACCATTCTGCAAATCTCAACATGATTCAACCCTCAACCCTCACTGATGGTTGGAATTCAAGTACGTATATATTTTTGGCTTAGAACACAATTACATCTATGTATATTTTTTAGGCATGAACATCAACACGTATGCATAATTTTTTCCGCTGTTTTTTTTTTCTATCTCTCTCTTTCTCTTTTTTTTTTCTCTCTCTCTTTTTCTATGGTTGTCTATCTGTCTCGCCCTCTTCTCTCTCTCTCTCTCTCTTCTCTCTCTCTCTCTCTCTCTCTCTCTCTCTCTCTCTCTCTCTCTCTCTCTCTCTCTCTCTCTCTCTCTCTCTTCTTTCTTTTTCTCTTTCTGTTTCTCTTCCTCCTGTTATCTCTCCTTGGCATCTCATTCAGAAGTACTGATGGAGTGAAAAAGAGAGAAAGAGAGGAAGGGGGAGGGGAAGAGGAAAGGAGGGGGGGGGTACAGGGAGGCGATTTAGGAGGCGGAGAGGGTAGTTGGCCCGCCCCGGGGATGGGGGGGGGTCAGAGGAAGGGAAGAGGGGGAGAGGGTCCTGACTGACCTACCGCAGGGGTAAGGGGGGAGGAACCGGAGGAGGGAGGAGAGGGGGGGTGAGGGGGATGTCGCGGAGTCGTGGCGGGAGGTCGTGATGCCGGGGGGGGGGGGGGGGGGGGGCAAATCGCGCGGCAGCGAACTGTCATTGGTCGTGCGTGCGTGCGGGGGGCGGCCTCATGCGCGACAGAAAACCGCCGGCGTGCATTCGAGTTGTCACGCTTCGCTCTCTCTCTCTCTCTCGCTCTCTCTCTCTCTCTCTCTCTCCTCTCTCTCTCTCTCTCTCTCTCTCTCTCTCTCGCGCTCGCTTGATGTACCTATTTGTCTATCTATCAATCTCTGTTTTTATTTATCTCTATATCTTATTTTCTCTTAGCCCTTAATTTAATTCTCTCTCTCTCTCTCTCTCTCTCTCTCTCTCTCTCTCTCTCTCTCTCTCTCTCTCTCTCTCTCTCTCTCTCTCTCTCTCTCTCTCTCGCGCTCGCTTGATGTACCTATTTGTCTATCTATCAATCTCTGTTTTTATTTATCTCTATATCTTATTTTCTCTTAGCCCTTAATTTAATTCTCTCTCTCTCTCTCTCTCTCTCTCTCTCTCTCTCTCTCTCTCTCTCTCTCTCTCTCTCTCTCTCTCACTCTCTCTATCTATCTCTTTCTCTTTTTCTCCTCTTCCTCTCCCTTGTTTCCCCGCGACGCTACGACGCTTGTGTTGCGTGGAGCAGGTGTCGCGTGGAGGGTGAATCACCCGTTTGGGGAAGAGGGAAGGAGAGGGTGAGAAGAAGAGATAGGGAGGGAGGAGGAAGAGGGATAAAGATAAGGAAAGGAAATAGGGGAGTTTTTCTTCGTCAGTTTTCATTTAGATGCTTTTATATATCTCGTACATTTATCTCTTCTTATTTCTTCACTCATGTCTTTCATCTTACGGTCCTCTGGTCTGCCTGTCACCTCCCTTTCTTTCCTTCTCCTCTTTCTCCCAGCCACCTCTTCCTTCCCCTCAGGATACCAAATGATGTATTTACCTTACTTCCGTGTTGGGTAAAAAAGGGGTTAGCGAGGCGGGGGGGCGTCGAAGTGCCAAGATTCGACGCGTAAGTAGTTCAAGGGAATTGTGAGAGGGGGGAGGGGGTCGTCCTAGATGCGTTTTTCCGCGTTATTGCTTCCATCCTTTCTTTCGTTTTTTTTTTTTTTTTTTTTTTTTTTCTTTTTTTTTTTTTAGTTCCTACATTTTCTTTTTTTTTCTTTCTTCACCGCCTCGGCGATGTCCATTGTCATTTTTCAATCTGTTCCTTCGCCAGGATGTCACATTCACAAAGACGTTAATTTTCCTATCATTTCTTTTTCGGCATTATCGTCTTCTGTTTCTTCGGTTCGTTCCTCTCTTGCTGCGCCTTCCTCCTCCTCAATGAAAGGTCAGAGCAAAGCCAAGCCGACCGGGCCGCCGACACCTGCGAATACGCACACTTGTAGCTACCAAACCACCTGCCGCGGCATGACCCGTCGGCCAAGGCTTCCGAAAGGTGGAAATCGCCTGCTGGCTAATTATTCACACCTGCGAATGACACTGCCGATGAAGACGCTCCGAATGGCAGCTGAAGTGCCAATTTCGCCCCCGCCCCCCCCCTTTCCCCGTCCAAGTCCACGGCGTCCACATCTGTACTAATTCGGTGATTCATTTCTTGAGAGCTGCGTCACTGATGCACTGACGAACACTTGAGGAAGGCGATGTGTGTGTATATATATCTTTTTATGCCTTCTTGGTCGCTTCATCAATTTTGTTTCATCATCATTATTATTAAGCAGTCGTAAAATTATAATTACGACTCATGCGTGCTTTCTTAATTGACCGAGTGATCGATTTATAGTTTTTCATTGGTTGGGCTTATTTTTTGAAAGTTAAGTGCTACCCTCATGAATTTCGCGTCTGTCCAAATAACACCTCAAATGGGCTGGTCGGGCCAATCTTTCCTAGTGTTTCTCTCCTTCCTCCCCGTTTCCCCTCTCCCTTTTCCATCTCCCTCCTCCCTCTTCCGTCTCCTAGCTTCCGTTCCCTTCTCCCATTTCCCATCTCTCCTTTCCCCTGTCCCATCTTCTTCCTTTCCTTTTCTCATCTCTACTCTCTGCTTCCCCTTCTCACGCCTCTCCTTCCCTTCCCATCTCCCTTCTCTCCTTCTTCTTCCATCTCCCGTCTCTCCCTCCCTCCCTTTCCCCTCTCCCTTCCCCCTCCTCCCCCCGTCGCGCGCTGGACAAAGAGAGGGCCCAATAGCTCAGGCCGGAGAGCGGGTCGTGACGCAGGTAATCTTGAGGGATCCGCAGCGCGTCGTGGTTAAGCTGCGGATAATCTCGGGTAATCTTGACACAGGCGGAAGTTGCGTAGGGGGAGGAAGGAAGGGGAGGGGGAGGGCCTGTCCGAGGGTGGGGGTGGCCAATCGCATGGGGGGGAGGGACGAAAAGTCTCGAGGTTCTTCCATCTCGTCCTCCTTCCTCCTCGATCTTCTTTGTGTCTCTTTCTAGCTTTTCATCTCTCTATCTCTCTCTCTCTCTCTCCCTCCCTCTCCCTCTCCTTCTCCCTCTCCCTCTCCTTCTCCCTTTCCCTCTCCCTCCTACTTTTTTTTCTCTCCCTCTCCCGCCGGTATCAGACCGAAGAAACTCCCCTCCCCCTCGCCCTCCCCCGCTATAAGGGAAGTGGTTGTCCAGCAAGATACACAAGAGGATCAGTTTCGTGATTTGTGGCTCGGCTTTCCCTGTAAGGTTTCCGATCCTTCTCTGGTGTCGCCACGATCCCCCACTTGCGGTTCGCCGATGTCTGTACGCCGAGGCCACACTCCTAACTTCCTAATTGGATCGGAGGTCGAACTAAGATCTTATTTGGCGCCAGAAACCTTGCAACAGATATTCTGATTCGTCGGGATTCACCCAATCAGCTTCGAAGGCCTCCTCGCTCTTGTGGCGACTTCCATTTTTCTTTTCTGTTTTTTTTTTCTCTTTGTCTAATAGAAGGTTGAAGTCATTAGGTGCGCGAGGAAAGTCTTATTTTTTCATGAAAAGTCAAAAATCGTTTCCGAATGCGAGTCCATAAGATCCATTCAACCCAGAGGAAAAGCTTGGCGTCCAAACACAAGTCGGTGAGCTTGGCAAGAAATCACATTCCTTCCCAGACTTACGACTGATACCTAGAGACCAAACGCTGCCTGATGAAGCCCTAGAGTGAAAAAAGCTTCATGTTTACCCACAATCTGAAGATGATTATAGCCTTCGCCTCCCTCCCTTCCCTCCTCCTCGCCTCGTCCTTCGCCCGCTCGATCGCCACCGCCCTCGCCCGCGTCAACTTGCATTACGACAAAAGAGCAATCTACGCACGCAAGCGATATTTCCGAAAGAATAAAGACACCTCAAGGCCGCTCGATGAAAAGCAAGCCCGTTGAGGCCGGGTTCCGAGGCGCGCGTGGTGGCGGGGGGCGTGTCCAATCTCAAGAACGGCCGCGTCTTGGAGGCCGTGGAGGCTCGCACGACACGGACCTGCTCACATGCTGATTAATTTCTCAATTATTCATGGCTAACTGGCCAATTATCTCATTACCCGGGCTCTGATGGGCACAGCGTCCTGAGCAGCCGCGCTCTGATTGTTATGTGACAATTGTTCCCATATTGAGCGGGTGCCTTTATCTCTCTCTCTCTCTATCTCTCTGTCTATCCATCTGTTTGTCTGTCTGTCGACGTTCACATCATTGCATGTTATTCGCTGTTATCTGGTAAAAGGTCGTCTGATCTTCATTCCTTTCACCTACTCTTTCTTACCCATTATTTAGTTTTCCCTCAAGCCCTTCCTTCATCAAAATGCTCCACTGCCTTTTGTATAACCGTAGAGAAATGATTATTGTATTAGTGATAAAGATAGTTCATGAAATATATCTGTTTATAAAACACTTGTTTCCCTGCTTTTTAATTCATGAATCATATTTAAGCAACACCTGAAATCATGACCCATATAGCCATTGAGTCCATGCTAGCCTTTAGGGAAAACTTACGCCCTCACATTGCGAAGCATACACACTTGATAAACATCTTCCCGCTTCCGGCGTCGGCTGACACGCGGCGCAGGAAACCGGAAGATGGTTACCAGTTCCCTTGTATGGATCGCTCGCGGTCCCGTGGCACCCGTGGTTTACACCGTGGTTTTTTCCTTAACTCCAGCGCACTCCAGCACCCTGACGCCGATGCATCTACGCAAAGCCAAGCTCATGTTCTTCTTCGTCCGGTATCCCTCATCTTCGGTGCTCAAGACTTACTTCCCGGACATTAAATTCAACAAGAACAACACAGCGCAACTCGTCAAGTGGTTCTCCAACTTCCGGTGAGTAGTCAAAGTGGCGTTTTTCACGTAGATTTTTTTTCTCTCTTTCTCCGTCGCAGTCCATCTGTGACTCCATGTACTAACGTCTGTAGGCTTAGTTATTTATTCATCCAAGTATTCCTGAGTAGGCTACGGGGGAATATCCATTATCAAAACCCTTTTATACTTCTGCGGGACGTCATTACCTGGGGTTTATAGTCTTGCAAAGTAAAACTGGATCCCTTAGCCGTTGACCCAAAGACATTAAACAGTTGTTAAGGAATCGAATCCCTTATACATGAGCTGAAAGGCAGGCATCAGACACGATGGGAAGGAAGGGAGGGAAGAATGAAGAGAAGGAAGGGGTAAGAAAGAGAATGAGAGAAGTAGCAGATAGAGAGAGAGTGAGAAGGAAAAGAGGCATATAGAAACGGACGAGAAAGAAAGAAAGTAGGAGAGAGAGAGAGAGGGGGAGAGAGAGAGAGAGAAAGGAGGGCCGAGAAGGAGCATGCCTTCTTGTAATTCCCTTGTAATGGCGCCCGTTCTTGGTGGATGGCCTCGACGCTGCAAAATTGATGCCAACCCGACAATTATTCGCTCCACGCTGATACCTGAGCCGACGGGGAGGGGACGTCTTGAGACACGGGGTAGAGGGGGAACAAGAAAATATAGGAGGAGGAGAGAAGGAGGTAAAGGAGAAGGGAAAGAAGTAGAAGAAATGACAAGATTGGTAGGAATGAGTATGTGTGTGTGTGTGTGTGTGTGTGTGTGTGTGTACGTTTGTGTGTGTGTAGCCCCCCAACCGTGATACAGCAGCGCAAATTAGTCTTACATTTCCTTAGAGGCGAAAGGAGGTGAGGGGAGAGGAAAGGGAAGCGAAAAGAACCTAGTGTGCCGTAATTAATTTGAATTAATCATAATCGACGACGTTTGTGTCAACAATGATTATCGAAGTGATCATTTGTCTTCCGAGCATTCCCTGTGTCCTCGTGCGCCGGGCGCCTGAAGGAGGGGAATTGATTGAAGAAATGATGAAGATGGGAGACAGGGTGAGGAGAAGGAGGAGGAGGAGGAAGAGGAGGACAGGAAAAAATGCATCAAAAAGGAACAACCGAAATTCGACAAGATGATTGAAATTAAGGGTATAACATGCTGGAAAAGAAGAGGAAGAAATTCCGAAACATAGGGGAAGAATGAGAGAGAGAGAGAGACAAAAGAGAAGAGAAGGAAGCAAGGAAACAGAGGGAGAGAGAGAGATGGCAAGAAATAAGGAGTGCTTGCGAGAGAGAGAGAGAGAGAGAGAGAGAAAGAAAGATAAAGAGAGAGAGAGAGAGAGTGCTTGCGAGAGAGAGTGAAAGAGAGAGTGCTTGCGAGAGTGAAAGAGAGAGAGAGAGAGTGCTTGCGAGAGAGTGAGAGAGAGAGAGAGAGTGCTTGCGAGAGAGAGAGAGCGAGCGAGAGCGAGAGTTAGAGAGCGAGGAGGGAAGGCCCACGTCCGCTCGCTCCTCCCCCCTCGGCGCGCCCGGCCGGCGAGTGGCGCGGCGCCCCCGGAGATGGGCGTGCCAAAACAACAATTACCATGGTAACACAGGCAGGCCCACTCGCCACCCGAACGCATCTCCGACCAGTGCAAGAAGGAAAACGCGGATAGAAGAACGGCAAATAATTAAAAGAGGGGGAAACAAAAGTAAAAGCGATGGCGAGTGTTTAATTAATGCAGGATACTGGGCCTTCGGGCTGTGTGAATGTTGAATCAAGAAGGGGAACCAGCGGCTGCTTCCCCTTGCCTTCTGCTGCGCCTACGGACTCCTGCTTTCCGGTCTCCTCGCTCTCGCTCTCTCTCTCACCCTCTCCCTCTCTCTCTATCTCTCTCTCTCTCTCGTCCTTGCTCTTTCTCTCTCTCTCGTTCTTGCTCTTTCTCTCTCTCTCTCGTTCTTGCTCTCTCTCTTGCACTCACTCGCTCGCCTGCTTGCGCCTTCGTCTGTGCATTCCTTCTCTCCTCGTCTGCTTCTCTCTTTCTTTCTCCCTCCGCCGCCCTCCGCCGCCCTCCGCCGCCCTCCCTTCCCACCCTCACAGTACCACCAAAGAAACACCCATTAACAGGTAAATCTCCCTCCCCCCCCCCCCCCTCCCTCTCTCCCTCAACTCTTAAGATCATTTCCTCGGCCTCTTCACTCTGCTCGCTATCGACTCCCCGTTGCTGTGCTGCATGCAACCTCTTGAGCAGCATCTGGAGCGTGCACACGACCAACGCCGCTCGCCCCTTTCGCTCTCCCTTCCCTCCCCACCCCCCCCCTCTCATTCTCTCTCTCTCTCTCTCTCTCTCTCTCTCTCTCTCTCTCTCTCTCTCTCTCGTTCTCTCTCTCTCCTTCCTTCCTTCCCTCCTTCCTTTCTCTCCCTTCCTCCCCCTTTCTGTTTTAACTCCTACACTCTCATCATCTCCCTCATTTTCTCCCCTTGCTCGCCCTCTCTCCCCTTTTCCCCCGATGCTGCTGCTGCTAATGCTTGCGTGCTGCTGATGAGGCTGATGCTGACGATGGCTTGGGAGGAGGGGCCAGGTCTGATTTTTTTCTTTCTTTCATTCTTTCCTTTTAAATGTGTGTTTTTTTTTTTTTACATTACTGATTATTTCACTTCTCTTCGCCCCCTTTCCCCCCCCTCCCCCTCTTCCCTTTCTGTTTTATGAAATATTCTGTCTCATTATTTCCTCTTTATTTTCCTCTCTCAGTCTCTCTCTCTCTCCCTCCCTCCTTCCCTCCTTCCTTCCTTCCTACACTCCGTCCCTCCCTCCCTCCCTCCCTCCCTTCCTTCCTCCAACGGAAACCGGTATGTCGAAGCGCTAGATGTCGCGACCCACTTTTCTGTGTTATAGCGGTGTTCTAGGTATCAGTGGCGCTCTAATGCGGGCATGTGTCGGAAGAACCAATATTGACTCTCAAGAACACAAATAGAGAGAGAGAAAGAGAGAGAGAGAGAGAGAGAGAGAGAGAGAGAGAGAGAGAGAGAGAGAGAGAGAGAGAGAGAGGGGGGGGGGGGGAGGGAGGGAGAGAGAGAGAGAGAGAGAGAATTCTTCCCCCACCCGTTGCATATTGCATTGCATTTGCCCGCAATCAGTCCTAAGAAGCACTCCCATCCTCGCACACACTCCTTTCCTCCTCCTCTCCTTCCTCTCCCCCCCCTCACGCCTTCCTCCCCCCTCCTCCTCCTCCTCCTCCTCCTCCTCCTCCTCCTCCCCTCGCCTTCCTCCTCCTCCTCCTCCTCCTCCTCCTCCTCCTCCTCCCCTCGCCTTCCTCCTCCTCCTCCTCCTCCTCCTCCTCCTCCTCCTCCTCCCCTCGCCTTCCTCCTCCTCCTCCTCTTCTCTTTGCCCCTCTCTTTTTAACTGCCTTATCCCCTCACCCGTGTCCCACTTCGCTCTTCAGAACATTTCCTGTCGATTTTTTAATGTTCTCGAGAACAACTGATGAACACTAGTTCTTGAGACTTCTCCTTTTTATCTTCTCTTTTTTTCTGCGCCCTCTCTCTCTCTCTCTCTCTCTCTCTCTCTCTCTCTCTCTCTCTCTTTCTCTCTCTTTCTCTTCTCTTTCTCTTTCTATTCCTACTCCAATCCCTCGCTCTCTTTCTCTATCTTTCTCTCCGTCTCCCACTCCTTCTCCCTCCCTCTCCCTCATTTCCTCCCTTCTTACCTCGTCTCTTTCCCCTCTCGAGTTTACCTGAGTTTACCCAAGACTACCTGCGCCCCTCCCCCCCCCCCTCCCCTCGTCCTCCCCCTCCGGCTGAATGAAGCAAATAGTAGTCACGACCTAATCTCTCTCTTTAAAACACGTGCATTTATGTTAGGATTCTGTACCCGCTCGAACTCAGGAAACGTAAGCGCACACGCACTCACAAATGCGCATTTATTTTGATTTCATTTTCCTTTTGTTTTGATCTTGCTGGTGTTTCATTTTTTTTTTCTCCTTTTCTGCTTTATTACTGTTTATTATTTATCGTCATTTTTCGTTTTTTTCGTTTTTTTTTTATATTATCCTGGGCGAAAATGTAATTCATTCGTTTCTTTTGAGCGATTGTGCAAGGAAAAGCAGAAAGATCAAGATGTAGGCCATGTTTGCAACCTCCCCCACCCCCCTCATCCTTTCCTTTCCCCACCTTTCTTTCTTTCTCCCTTCTCCCTTTTCCCCTTCCTTCGCACATCTTCCTCTTCCCCGCTCCCCTCCTTCTCACTTCCCCCCCTCCTTCCCTCTCCCTTTTCACGCCTCCCCTTCCCCCTCCCCTCCCACCCCACGCCCACACCCGGTTGATAATACGTCATGAAGTGGGCGTTGTGTTGACTTGAGCTCCGTTCTCGGCCGGAACAAAGGGGCTCAGAGGAGGCGAATGGACGTCCAAGCGGTGGGTCGCCTTGCTGTGGCACCGGCCTTTTGGCACTCGCTCTCCGTCGGCGCCGTCGGCCTCGTCCTGTTCGCCTCCCTCTGCCGTTCCTTTCTTCGTGCTTCTTTTTTCTTTTCGTGTTCTTCGTATTCTGTGTCATTTTCGTCTTTTTTAGTTCTCTTTTCTTTCCCGTTCATCTCATCACATTTTTGTCTTATTTTCCTCTCTTTCACCTTTCTTTTTCTACGCATTCTCCTCCTTTTCCCATTCCTCTCTTCGCATTAATTTCTTTTCTTGCCGTTCCCGACGACCCTCTTGTGCAGAGCTACTGTAAGTACTGTGCTGGGGGGGGAGGGGGGTGCTGATCAGGTCATTTGGCGCCGTGTTTGTCCTATTGATCATCCGCCTCCATTGTCAGGCGGGTATTTAGATAGAGGAGGAAGGACAAGGCGAGCGCGCGTTTGTTTACGCCTCTCGTTAACCTGGAAGATATTTTACCTGAGCCGATCTTCGGGAGGCGGAGGGGGAGGGGAGGAAGGGAGGGGGAACGTGCCGGGCGTGGGTGGGGGGGGGATGCGGGCGTGGTAGGGGTGGGGGTGGTTGATCGAACAGGTCGTTTAATCGTTAAGCTACGATAATCAGCCTGGTTGCTCGCT